GGAGAATGACGTAAGCTGCTTTGGGTCTGCGTTGGGGAGAAAGGCTGGGTATGAAGGAAGCAGATGAAGAAAAATAAATACAATCAACGTGAGACTGGGTGTTTGTGTTTTTTTTGGTGCAGTTATAAGTCAATGTACTTGTGTAAATTGATAACGTAGAGAAGAAAGGATGATTAAAACGAACAGAAGGAACTGAGTGCTGCTATGGCGAGCTGTGGATGGCACATTGAACAAAATCTGAAGATTAAAAAAAGGATAAAAGGAGAGCGTAAGCCACTTTGGGTCCCCACGAGGGGGAAAGGCAGGATATATATGAAGGAAATAAATCAGTAGAACTCTAGTCAGTGGCCATATCAGAGTTCTTTAGCAAGTAACCGTGGCGTCTATTGGGTGAGAGAGAGATACGGGAAGGCAGCTACCTTCTGAACTGAAGGATATCAAGTCCCCCAATCTGGCCTCTCCTTTCGGTTCTCCCCACTGCCCACGATCAGGCTTTGAATAAAGGATTGGTAGCATGGAAGCTATGCACTCCCTAAAGCAGGGGTGTCAAACATGCGGCCCGGGGGCTGGATCAGGCCCCCGGAGGGCTTTCCTCAGGCCCACAGTGGAACTGGCCATCTCCTGCTTCCAGTTCTGCTGCTGCTGCTGCATCATAGCTTACTTCGCCAGACTCTCTTAATCACTCAGCCGTTTCATGTTTTAACCTGGGTCCTAGACTCAGAACTCTGAGCATGAGATTTCTGTGGTGAATGTCAATAAATCAAAAGCAGATTTGCAGCTTACAGAGCGAATGTTTTACGCATGTTTTTATTTTAAGTAAAAAAAAAAATCTTTGTGTTTGTGTTCTTTATAAAGTTTATATCTCCACTACCTGGCATTAAATGTTATGACACACACGGGTCCCGGCCTGACCAGGTCTCCTTTATGTCAGATCCGGCCCTCATAACAAATGAGTTTGACGCCCCTGCCCTAAAGGCCTCTTATTTTGGAACCTGCTAGACCAAGGCTGTACTTATTTGTGAGGTAAATAGAGATCACTTTTCCTTGGATGTTTGACTCAGCAGACAAGGCACAGGTGGAAATGAAAAGCCAAGATTTATTTAACAGGAAATATTTAATAGGGTAAATATTATGTGTGGATGACTTCAATATATATAGTATAACTGGCTCTCGAGTAAAGCAAATAAACCCCGAGAGGAGATTTGAGCCCTGCTGTTTCAGGTTACTCCAGCAGGTTCAAGGCCGCTCTTTCCCCACACAGAGCACCTTTCCACCGAACCTACACACCACCAGTTAGGAATGACGGGCCCTAGACAGGAAAGCTTCTTTAAGAACATAAGAGAAGCCCATGTTGGATCAGGCCAATGGCCCATCCAGCCCAACACTCCATCACACAGTGGCCAAAAATACCAGGGGCCATCAGGAGGTCCATCAGTGTGGCCAGGACACTAGGAGCCCTCCCACTGTTGCCCCCCCCCCAAGCACCAAGAATACAGAGCACCCCTTGCCCCGGACTGAGAGTTCCTATCTATACCTTGTGGCTAATAGCCACTGATGGACCTCTGCTCCATGTTTATCCAGTTCCCTCTTGAAGCTGTCCATGCTTGTAGCCGCCACCACCTCCTGTCGCACTAAAATAAGTTTTGTTCCCTAAGCTGACCCCTAAATCATAACTAAAAGCCAAGTAAAACCCTGGCCAAGCTGACGCTCCTTTCCAGAGCCACAAAACAACTGGGGGGGGGGGTATGTCTTCACCCTTCTTAAACTGAGGCTGGCACACCCCCTCCCATCCAGTGGCGTTCCATTGGCTCTGATAGGCTGAGGCCAAAATCACAAGGATCGGTTCGGCGCCCTGGAGGAGAGGCGGGACTTTTCAGGATGATTGCCGCTGTGGTCCTGTCCACACTCTCCTTTTAATCCACGTTCATCGGGGTGTCCTCCAAGCAATCCTGCACTAAAACCAAATTCAACCTTATTTTAAATCCAGGTTTTTCCACAGTTCGGCACTAAAACTGAATGTCGCCTTCTTTTTATTCCATTCCCCCCATTCTGCATTATATTACCTCCTTTCAGTGGTTGGCCCAGTTTCAGTCCACTGTTGCCCCAGGGTTTTTCGATGCTGTTTTGCCAAGGACTGAAATTGCATGTGTTTTATCCCAGGACATCTGCCCTGCTTTTCACCCTTTTTTTTTGCCTCCTCACCTCAGCAGCTGAAATAAGATGCATGCAGTGACCTCTCATGGACAATGGGGATTTGTGAGCACCAAGGCCAAAAAAACCCACAAGGGGACAGCCAGGTGACTGCTGTAGCGCCCTTCTTTCTCCATATTGTGAAAATAATAATAATAATAATGAGCTTAGATTTATACCCTGCCCTTCACTAGCCAAAGGAGTCTCAGAGCGGCTTACAATCTCCCTTCCCTTCCCCAACCCTTCTGAGGTAGGCGGGGCTGAGAGAGCTCTTGACAGAAACTGCTCTTTTTTCAAGGACAGCTCTGAGAGAACTATGGCTTTCCCAAGGTCATCCAGCAGGTGCAAGTGGAGGAGTGGGGAATCAAACCCGGTTCTCCCAGATTAGAGTCTTAATCACTACACCAAGAAAAGCACAGAAGCGTAATAATAATAGAGGTATATTTGATGTGGCGTCTTACAGGTTTTTTGAGTTTATATTTCTATTTCTGCAGGCGCCTTCCGCCTTCTCTCACAGACATCAGAGCTTTCTTTCGAGCACTGGACCAATAGCAAACCATTTTTTGAGTATCCAACAGTGCTGCTTGCAATTTGTGATTCAAGAAGTTCGTGATGATAGAGGGAGGGCCAGCACCAACTAGACTAGCACCTCTCAGGTCAGACTATATTAGGGTTGCCAGATCGAGGTTGGGAATTCCCTGGAGATTTGGGGGTGGAGCCTTGGAAGGGCAAAGTTTGGGGAGAGAAGCGACCTCAGCAGGGGTATAACACCATAAAGTCCATCTTCCAAAGCAGCTCCAGGGGAACTAATCTCTGTCATCTACAAAAAAGTTGTAATTCTAGGTGGTCTCCAGCCCCCATCTGGAAGTTGGCAATCCTAAACTATATTATGGCAACCACTGTGGTCCTGCTGTGAATCAGATCCCTCGTGTCCATGGTGAACTCATATAAAATCTAGCATGGCCCTCAGTTACTTTCCCTCGCTTCTACCGAGCCTTTCCTTACACCAGACAAGGCAGCTCTAGCGATCTCCCTGTTGCACAGTAGAAAAGAGCAAGAGTTTAGTAGCACCTTAAAGACTACCAAAACTTTGTGGCAGGGGAGGAGCTCTCGTGAGCCACTGATCCCTTCTTCAGCTAATTGCACAGAAATCTACTTGTCTTCTATTGCTTCTTCTCTTCCAGTTTGGTGTAGTGGTTAAGTGGTTAAGGCTCTAATCTGGGAGAACGGGGTTTGATTCCCCACTCCTCCATTTGCACCTGGCTGGATGACCTTGGGCAAGCCATAATTCTGGCACAGCTGTTCTTGAAAAAAGAGCCCTTTCTGTCAGAGTTCTCTCAGCCCCACCTACCTCACAGGGTGTCTGTTGTGGGGAGGGGGAGGGAAAAGGAGTTTGTCAGCCGCTCTGAGACACCTTTGGGTAGTGAAGGGCCATGGGGTATAAATCCCATCTCTTCTCTTCTTCTCTTCCTGAGTAGCATCCATGGAAGATGTAGGGAAAAGTCCAGTCCGCTGGATAGGATACTTTCACACAATTAATGGGAAAACTATTTGAGATAAAAGGTTTTGCCAAATTTTTGTTTTCGTTAGGGCTATCGATGCAGGCCCATGAGAATTTCCTGATTTTCCCCTTCCCCTCATTTTTATTTATATCTGATTTTTCTCCTTGATCACGGAGGCAACACGGCTTTTCACACTGTTCCCCCCTCTCCACCCAGTCCTTATAACCACCACCTTGTAAGGCTAGATTAGGCTGAGAAGTTGTGATTGGGCCAAGGTCACAAGGCAGGCTTCTGTGGCTAAGTGGGCGATTCGAACCTAGTCTTCCGCTAACCACTAATCTACACCAACCCTTTACTGTGGCAAGCTGTTCGTTACTGCATATGAAATTATCTAACTTACACGTTATTGCTGTCACGATTTGTGTGACTTTCTAACCCGCCCTGAGCCTGTTTGCAGGGAGGGCAGGATAGAAATCGAATCAGATAAATAAATAAAATCCAGCTGAGAATCCTTTTTTTGTTTTTATAAAGCAAGTTCTTTGACTTAAAGACTAGGCTAGTCACTCAATCCAAAGATAGGAATTGCATGTTAAGGCCTATTCACTGGAACAAATGAATATGCTTGGTTTAGTAATCCTGAAGGTCAAACCATCTAGGGCCCCGGTCACACGGGCCAGAT